AAATCTCCAAACAAACTAAAACAAACAAACGAACACAGCAACAACGACAACAATAAAACAACAACAACAAAAACAACAACAACCACAACAGAAATCTCCCAAAAAGAATCATAACGAAATAGTTTCTCGAAGCCACTAGCTGATTTTGGATGATGTGATCTTCGGTGTTTTGTTTATAACTTTCCATTAAGTCGGTTGGGCTGCAAGGGGTCGTGCAAACCGGGTTTATGGGGCAATTTTGACACCAAGTATGCTGTTCCAGGGCAAGATAGTGTGTTCACTCGATAGTGGCCAACAGGTGGGCCCTGTAAAATATGGGGGAGCGGGTCCAATGAAAACCGGCACGCAGTTTAGAAAACTTTTTTTTGGTAAGTGTTTTACGTCGCTAGCAACTACATAAGGTTATATTATGAGCGCACGGAACGCATTAAACATTTTTAGTTGGTAAGAAATTTTGAATTTTGCCCGGATGGCGGCCAAAGCCTACTCTTGTCGATTTTAGACCACCAAGGTGTCTTTAACGTGCACGTGGGACCTCCGGAATTTTTCGCCCTTGTCCGAGAAGGCTAGGTGTAGATCTTTCCTACCAAAAGATTATGTTTGTGGCTGAAAGACAGCAATAAGAAGGAGTCAACGAGTAGCAGAAGAAAGCCTGCATAAAGAGTCAGGAGCCCAGAGGAGGGGGCAAATGAGGTGAGGGAGTGGGGGCAGAAAGAGAGGACGAAAGCAGACGACAGAACATTGCTTGAGAGCAGGAAAGAAGGGGAAAGGAGACAATCTTTAGAGAAGAAAATTTGTTCAGTCGCCACCCGGATTCGAACCCGGGACCTTTGAATGAGAGGCGAACACCTTAACCTCTAGGCCACGAGAGCCCCCAGAAAACTTTGGTCCAATTAATATTCAACAAAGAACAATAAGGACCCCTCTCGAGTTCATCGGATTTTAACTTCCGTGTGTTGCTGATCCTCAGTTTCATGTTTCAACTACGTGACACGTACAAAAATTATAAACAACGGAACTTTGTATACGTTATTTAATTAACCTATTCATTCTATTGTTCTGTTTATCTTTGCACTATAAGATTAATCAAAGAAGCTGCACAGAGTATATCCGTGTCACGTCCATTTGAACAACCCTCCTTTAAAAAAAAGAGTTAAAGTAGAGATTGGGGGCTCCCGTCGGCAAGAAGATAAGATGTTCGCCTCTCATTCAAAGGTCCCAGGTTCAAATCTGGGTAGCCACCGAAAGTTTTTCTTCTCTAAAATTGTCTCCTTTTACCTCATTTCCTGCACTCTACCAATGTTCTGTCGTCTGCTTTCGTCTCCTCTTTCTGCCCCCACCCCCTCACCTCCTTTGCCCCCTCCTCTGGGCTCCGGACTCTTTCTGCAGCCTTTCTACTGCTACTCCTTGACTCCTTCTTACTGCTGTATTTCAGCCACACTCCGTGATCTTTTGGTAAGAAAGAATTATATCTAGCGTTCTCGGACAAGGGCAAAAAATCTCGGAGATCCCGTGGGCAAGTTGCGCACGTTAAAGATCCCTTGGTGGTCTAAAATCGATAAGAGTAGGCTTCGGGCGCCACAAGAGCAAAATTCAAAATTTCCTACCAACTGAAAAGATGTTTAATGTTTCGCGCGCTCATATGACCTTGTGCTGTTGCGAGCGCCGTAAAACACTTACCACCAAAGAAGGAGAGATTGTATGAATGTCATTAACATTTCTGAATTCCTGACAATACCAGGTGTCTAAAAAAGAAGACCCATTTAAACAGCACTGACTCAGTCATCTTTGGATCAATTTCCATAAACCTTCGAAGAAATAAACGTCAACAAGGGGACATTACATTTATCGACTTATGAGAAAAAAATCAACCCACACTTTCTAAAAATATCAAGTTTTTGAAATTTCAATCAAAACTGAATGAAACGCAAAACTTTGCAACTTCTTAAAATCACCCATATCGTTCTATTCGAAATAGTCACCATTTTTGCCTTCAAGGGGAAATTAATACACAACTGAAATTGTTAATCGAACTCAGGGAAGGTGGTCGCTATCTAAATCTTCAGTGATCATTTCTCTCCATACAAGCTCCAATACCAGATTCGAAAATTTAAATAACCGTGTGGCGTGTTTCTGGGTCAGTTCTTTGGACCTCCTGTTCTACATTGATTTTTAACTGTTAGGTTGTTAGTGGGCTGTTTCCCTGGACTCTGTCAAAAAACCCTAAAGGAATTAATTGAAGAGGCTTAAGTTGGGGGGAGGGGGGGATGAGGTAACTAATCATTTGTAAACTCCTTGCTGGTAAGGTGTTCTCCAAATCTTTCTTGCAACCATAGCAGAGCCACTCTTGGCATGAGGGATGTGTCCTCATCCCACTGAAACCAGGGCTGTACAGTATAACAATAACGACCTCACCCAAAATTCTCCAAAACTTTCTCAACACAGTAAGATGTCAACTGAGGCGATTGTTGTGGTTTTACCGCTCAGAGAGAAGTAAGACGTTGCGTTTTAACCAATTTTGATTGAAACTTGTAAAACTTCGTATTTCTTGAACTAGTGGACTAATTTTCTTCACATTTACAAACTTTATATCCCCCTGATTGAATTGTATTTGTTCCAAGTTTTGTCGGAATTAGTGCAGAGATGACCGATGTTCTTTAAGTGGTCTCTCTCTCTCTCTCTCTCTCTCTCTCTCTCTCTCTCTCTCTCTCTCTCTCTCTCTCTCTCTCTGTGTGTGTGTGTGTGTGTGTGTGTGTGTGTGTGTGTGTGTCCTCTCTCTCTCTCTCTCTCTCTCTCTCTCTCTCTCTCTCTCTCTCTCTCTCTCTCTCTCTCTCTCTTTTTTTTTTTCTTTCTTTTTTTTTTAGACATCTTGTATTTTGGATTATTCGTTCAATCCTTAATAATTTGAAAATACATGTATGTATTAAATTCTGAGACAGAGCAAATCACTTCAGAGCTGGTTGCTCTCTGAAACAGACTCATAAAAATTATGAAGACATTGGAATAACAATTCCTTTTGATCAAATGGTTATTATAATGAAAAGAAGCAGTTTGTTGAACCGTTCCATAAATATTCATTTGCTAAAATTAATTGCTAAAACTATTCTTTTAATTTGTCTTTCCTTAAAAGTTTCATCCGCAGACGAGTCACTGCAGACGACACCACCAATTGAAATGACAACAACACAGTCCTTGACTGACGTCACTTTCCCTGGGTACGCCAACGAGCGCAAGCAATCAACCGCCTCAAAGGAAGGCGTGTCCAACGTCATGACAGCTGTTCTCGTTAGTTCTTTGACCTTTGGTTGTGTATTTGTGCTCACTGTGGTTGCTGTGTTGGGAAAACGAATCTACGACAGCTACCGAAAACGTCACTATTCCAGATTAGATTACCTCATCAATGGCATGTACAACTAATCTGACCCCATGAGTACAACAATAAATCCAAATCGTGTTAACTATGTTGTGATTTATTTTAGACCTGCAATGTGCTTTTAATCTGTAAAAATGTGCTACTAAAAATACCTGAGAATGAATGTGCCTTCTAGTCTTCCATGTTGACTATGCAAGAGTCCGTTCTTTTCGTCCTTTTCATGACACGTCGGGAGATAAGATATCGGTCGATACAAATTCTTGATACAAAAATGCACGGCTGTTTTTTTTTTGTTTTTTTTTCTAGGGGTGGGGGGGGGGGGGGTGGGGGGGGGGGTTAAAGACAGGGAATGTGAGAATGAGACGGGGAGAAAAAACCTACTTCATTTACCTGCTTCTGTGTTCTATGTCATTCCATTGTCATTGGAGTATTTCCCATTTTAGCAAAACATTGTTTTGAGTGAATGTGACAATGTAGGCCTTATATCTCTAGTTCTAGTTCTCCGTCAAGGAGATATCGTTTTGTAGTACATGTAATTCCAAATTGCCATTTGTCAAGTTCTCGCCTGGTTCCACGTTTTGTATTGAACTCTTTCCTTAACTTTTCTTTACGGCAGTCGTTCAGGTTTTCCTTTTTGTTCTTTCTTTAAACTGGCAAAAATTACTTTCTGAATAGCGTATGAAGATTTGGTGATATAATCCAACGTAAATAACGTTTTCTTCGTTCTAGGGAGCCGAGCCAGCCTGAACACGTTTCTACTACGACCGAATGCTTGTCCATGACTTTATACAAATTATGTTACCAAAACGCTACCACGTGTATTAATGAGATGTGAGTATACTGATGTGATCCTTTTTGGGGGCTTTGTGTTTTTATGAGCGTTTTTTCTTTTTTCCTACGAAACCAAGATCTTACAACCGAGAGAGTGACCCCAAGCTCTGACTACTAGACTGTTACTCTTGTAACAACTATCCCGTCGCTCGATTGTGTCTTTTCACCCAGATCTCACCTCCTTGAAATCAGCATAAATGTAATCCCATTTATCAATGAAGGCCGAATGTGGTTAAAATCTTTCACGTATTGATCGGATAGTCGGGCTAGCTTCAAAAGACGTCATATTTGTCAAATGTACACATCTGGGTGTGCCTGGTTTACAATGGTAGCAGCCCTTTCAGAACCCAGTTAATAAACAGTAGCCGACTTACCATGTTCTTGTGGGACAGATGGCTGCAAGCGTGGTCAACATCAGCGTTTTTGAGCTTCGAATTTTCGAACAGTCTACATGTTTCGCCCCTCCCCCCGCCCCCTGGTCTACTACTACGTATAATGTTTCTTGCATCATAATGTTCTCCGAGTCCGGTGTGTTGTCGATGAGCCTTGTAGTGCTCTTCCCTGCTGCTGACCCTACTTTCTGAGTCTGGTGACTCATCAAGTTTCAGCCACGACGAAAAGGATTTATTTCTGCTTAAAATGATACTTATACTTTATTGAAATTATTTATTTGTTTTTTTACATTTATTTTGTTGTTGTTGTTGTTGTTGTTGTTATTGTTATTATTTGGAAGAAAATGGTGACGTATACTTGCACCTCGTAACTAGGAAGTTGTCTAGATTACTCAGGGAGATGAACGTCAGAGTGTACGTACACAGGTATCACGAAAAGTTTATGATAGGGGAAAAAAAGTTGACTTTGTATTCAAAGAACTTTAGCGACAGACGCTTTACACCTTTGCAATTAACCCCTTCACTGCCCTGGCCATATCATTACGTAGCAGAACTAGGGGAATTTGGGAGAATTTATACCTTCATCACTTCATCATTAAACTTGGTTTATTCGGATGTCAGAGATTTTTTTTTTTAGGGTTTTTTTTCACTCTGACCTTTTTTTTACTTAAATTTTTTTTAATGTATTTATTTATTTATTTATTTATTTATTTATTTATTTATTTATTTATTTGTTGTTGTTGGGGTTTTGTTTTTTTTGGGGGGTAACCCATTTATGTTTATACATGTGTGTGTATATATATATATATATATATATATATATATATATATATATATATATATATATACAATGCGGTTTTTAAAAATGTATTTAAAGTGTTTCGTGCTTTTAATACTTTTGCGGGCTAGTCTTCGTTATTATTTTTTAAAACTTTTTTTTCCAAAGGGGTAGGGGGAAGTAATCTTCCCGTCTCAAAACATATGATAAGAGAAAATAATATGTGGGTATTTCTGTACTTTTTCTGATTTCATTTTTTGTGAGTTTTTTTAAAAAATTAGTCCTGTAGTATAAAATGTATAGAATCATAAAGTACTGTTGACCTAACGTGATTTTTTAGAGTGGAAAAAAGGTATGCTGTTATTGTAACCAATAAATGCCAACATGGAAACTTTAGTGTATATGTTTAAGTGTGTGTGTGTGTGTGTGTGTGTGTGTGTGTGTGTGTGTGTGTGTGTGTGTGTGTGTGTGTGTGTGTGTGAAAGAGAGTGAGAGAAAGAAAGAGAGAGAGGCGGAGACACACACACACACACACACAGAGAGAGAGAGAGAGAGAGAGAGAGAGAGAGAGAGAGAGAGAGAGAGAGAGAGAGAGAGAGAGAGAGAGAGAGAGAGAGAGATTAATTAAAAGGGAGAATGAGTGGGTGAAAAGGGGGGAGGGCAAGGAATACAGGTAATCAGAAGGAACAAAAATGTATAAGTTTGAACGGAAAAATAAATTATTTTGTTTGATTTTGTGAACGCATATTAATGACATTATGTGTACATGTGTTCGCGCAAATGTGTATAGCCTACGTACGAATGTTTGTGCACATGCGTATACATGTGTGTGTGTGTGTGTGTGTGTGTGTGTGTGTGTGTGTATGTGTGTATGTGTGTGTGGGGGGGGGTTATGTGGGTGTGTGTTTATGTGTATGGGGGAGAGAGAGAAAGAGAGAGAGAAAGAGAAAGAGAAAGAGAGAGAGAGAGAGAGAGAGAGAGAGAGAGAGAGAGAGAGAGGAAGCACACAAGAGAAGAGCCTTTCTGTACATGTCGAAGTTACGACCTGCGCGTCGAGAGGGATTTGAAATTGAAGGTGTCAGAGAAAGTTAGAGGATGTTGGAAGTGTTAAAAGAGCAAAAATGGAAGATGGGAGAATGGACGCGAGGAAGTGAGAGAGTCGATATTATAACAGGAGAACATACCATCGAGGGTGTTTCGTAAAGATCAATGTATGTGAATTTGAAAATTTTCTTGTATATTATAAGACATGTGATTTAGAGACACTGTATTGTTGTTTGTTGTTTGTATATAGGTACAAATATCATGAGTAGACTCTCTTCAGATGGTGTTATAGAATTAATGAGGAATAAAATTAAAGACATCGAACGAGGTCGAGTTGTGTTGCTCGTAGCTATTCTTAAAATATACGTTTATTTAATTTTTCTTTGATTCATTTTACATGCATTTTCAAAATTCTGTTCCTCTTTCAACTGTGGTTCTACTGTACTGTGAGATTAATCAAAGAAACAATGCATGGTGTGACTTTTTTCTTTGTTGAAAAGTCATATAACCTGACAACAAACAAAGGCTGTTTCAGTGTCCTAAAACAGCTTTTGAAATCCAGTTTTTATGGCGAAACTGTTCTAAGCTTTACCAGCACACACAAAGTGATTTTCGATATTTAGAAAAAGGGTTCTAGTTTTGGGGTCATTTTTTTTCCTTGAACCTTCTGGAAACAATCCTCTCTGCTCGATATCCTTTTCAGAAAATTATGCCCCCGCCGTCGAAATCCCCACACGGTATTCTGTATACAACGAGAAACGTCAATAAATGCAAAAATGAGACAAAAGGAACGCACTGGTATCTGAGACGGAAGAGCTTCTGACACCTTGCTGGTCAAAAATATTAACCAAAACCATAATCGTGGTTTATTAAAGTGACTGACAGCCAACACAATCGTACAAAACACGTCATGTCAGAATGTCAGAAGTTTTATTTTGCAATCTTTCTTTTTCTATACTTCTGCCTTGAATTTTTAGGAAGGGACTACAATTATAATAATATTCAAGGGCTGATAAGTAATCATATTATTACTTTATTTGTTGTCATACTTAGTACTTTAACCTTAACTGTCCCCTTACATCGCAATGTGGCGTCGGTGGCCTAGTGGTTAGGCTCTCGGACTCGCAACCGTAAGGTCGTGGGTTCGAATCCCGTCAAGGGCCCGACGTTGTGTCCTTGGGAACGGCACTTTACACGAATTTTCCTCACTTCACCCAGGTGGGAATGGATACCCGGCTATAGACAGCGAAAGATCTTGTCAGTTTGTTAGTGTTTGAGCGCTTAATCGGCTGCTTGCACTGTATGCTTCCCGAGAAGCTGAGAATGTTTCGGAGTGTTCTATGGTCTGCTGGGGTAATAATATAGTGTAAAGCGCATAGAGCCTGCTGCTGAGCGGGGATATGCGCTATACAAATGCTATCTATTATTATTATTATTATTATTATTAATGTGCCCAGGGGAGATGCAATTGTCGGACATTGGCCAGGTGTGTTGCTAGTTGGATCGTCACGTTGTTCCTTTGAAGGGTCTCTGACTTCATCGAACCACCTTTTTAGGCCTTCCCTTTACATGTACTGTGAACCCATAGCCATGCTTAAATTCTTAATTACTTGAAGACATCGAATCGAATGTTGTAGGCCCTTGAGACTGGCCGGTGTGGCCTCATTCCCACAAACTACAATCCCAGCAGCTTAGACCCCAGCATTTCCCCGCGAAAGCACTTTTCAACATGCTGGCACACTTGCCAGGTGGGTGTCTTGAAACGTTTTTTTTTTTTAAAGAGGGCATGGGCACTGAAATTTAGGGGTTAGGAATACTCAAAAGTTGTGGGGGGGGGGTCAAGTATTGACGAAATGATAGCAGTAGGTCTACACACATCCACATTGTATTGCGCCAACGTGGGCAAGTCAAAATCGTTCGAAATTGAATATTATGGTAGGTCCATCTATAGTTGACTTCAGGACAATAGTTCCCCTACAAAAGTGTCCCATATTCAGAATCATCTTCTCAATGAGAGCTTACAGGTCAGCTTTAAATTTTAGCATTATACAAATTCCCTGTCCTCGTCGACAACTAATGAAACTGTTTGAGGAATGTGTCTCCCCTTTCCGAAGAACAAAGCTAAGAATTATTATTGTCAACGATAGCTTTTAAATCTTAGGTGTGAAGTAAAAGATTCGTTAAGTAAAAGACAATGCAGTCAAAACTGTCGAAAAAGACTGCCATCCATTTGTCGAGAAGAAATGCCGTTGTCTTGGACGGTGTAGACCTAATTGAAACAAACTGCGCAAGGAGACGGGGTAGTAGGAAGTGGTCCTTTGTACAGGGGACTGTCTGTAAGGACAGGTGGCCGTTAGAGCAGGTCCGATATGAGGGCGTCAAGGAGACGTGGAAAAAAAACGACAGCCACGCGCCTGGAGATCGAACAATCCCAGCAGCAAAGTTACTACAAGAGGGCCTGTTGCTTTGAGGTTTAGTCAGCAATTTACGAATTCATCTTCTCCACACCTACAATGGGCGATGCGTTAACTCAGTTGGTGTCATGCTAGACTACAGAGTGGATGGCCCTGGTCATAACCCAAGAGTGGGCGGTCTTGAACTCGAGTCATTCTGTGGAGTTTTCAAAGCCCTCAACATAAATTTGGCTCGGTCCTTCGGAGACGAGCGTGAAATTCGGAGGTCCCACCTCTTAAACAACCTGATAGTGTTGATAGGGGGCGTTGAATCTATAGGCCTTCACTTTCTTACATC